AACGCAAAGGCTGGGGGAAACAGACATTCTAACAAGCCAATGACTGTCGTTGTCTCATAAAACAAAAATTAAAATATAATTTATGGAAAAAATATGGTCGGTAGATCCATCAGCTCGCCACAATTACAGGCGCCATCGTCACCAATGTGTCTTGTTGGAAGTGTTTAGCTGTGAAGACAAAAATAAACACCATAAACTACCACAATGAATTTAGACAAAGAAAACACTGACAACTAGAGCTCATAGCGCGGCTTGCCTTTGGTTTCCAAAAAAGGATTCAATTTGAAACTCATCGGCGTTACCTCGACAAATGTCAACATATGAATTCGATATAAAAAATAGTCGGTGATTGACAAATAAAAACGCGTAAAACGTCTTTAGAAAGGATGACTTCCTGTCTCGCTCTTTCCTCAAAAGTGACGTAACTCGGTGTTAGGCAGAGTAGCGCTGCAATGTTTAGATACTAAACAGTCACACTACTCAGTGACATTTCATACATGCAGTCAAGAAATAAATACAAGAGCATTTCCTGACGTTTCGACAGTAACACAGTAATAGGCCGGACGACCAGCATCTAAACTGACGCATTGCTCCGAAAGTTTCGTTACCGACTTCTAACCAGCCTTTCTCACTCGCCTGATTAAGGCTAACGATAGCTGGCTTCCTGCTACTTACTTTACCTCATAATAGGGCACTTTTAGGACCTGGTGCCATAGTACAAACTATTCGAAATGAGATTGTTTCCTTTCACGCGTAAATATTGTCTTATTACTTTATTTTTACTATACCTTTTCTCCTTCTCTCTTGTTGACATTCGCTCTCAGACACTTCCGCAAGTTCTGTTTCGTGTGTAGGAGACAATGCGCCACCCATCTACGTCTCATTGACGCCCTTTCTGCGTGTAATGTTCAGCTTTCAACACTAGATGTCAACATTTAGCGCTTTATTTTCAGCATTGCCACAGAGGTTGTTGCAAGTATAGACATAATAAATACTTATTATGTATTAGGTATTTATTATGTCTATGGTTGCAAGTATAGGCTACTACTATTCTCAACATTGGTATTGTTTTTTAAGAACACTACCATATAAAAAGTTTCAACGCAGCTACTCACAATTTATACGAACATAGGCCTATTGGAATATTCAAAAAATAATATTCGCAATAATAATAATTATAATAAACAATGTATTTCTGCATCCACTGACAGGGAAGATAGTAACAGAAAAAGTAAGAATAGGTCAGGGCCAGCAGCAAGGGAAGGGGTCAAATCAGTGGAACTGTCATTTGAATATAGTATTATTATTATGTTGTTGTTGTTGTTGTTGATGATGATGATGATGATGATAGAATAGAATACAATACAATGGAATATAATAGTTTTATTGTCACTGTTTTGAAACAACGAAAGACTGTTACTATTTAACCATGGTTTGTGTCAGACAGAGTAGCCTACTTTGTGCAAATAAAGAATGTAGCGCTGAAAACAATATACATAATATGTGTATGCTAAATATTCAGGTATCAATATATATGCCCTGAGACGGTTTGATGATGATGATGATGATGATATTTATTAAAATGCTTGTTATATTATTTGTTAGAGTGTTATTGGTATTATGCTTTTTAATTAGCCTACATTTACAATAAAATGTTATTGTTTTATTTAAGGCGTCCCAGTTTGCCAGAAAGATCGAAATTGTGGTCTATACGTGTTTGTGAAAGCATTTTAAGTTTTTGTGTTTAATATTTTTTTTTCCATTTTAGTTTTGTAAAAAGACATTCATACTGGCACAAGCACAATTTATATTTGTCGACAAAACTAATTTAAATCGTTTTAACTGTTAAAGTCTCTTTTAAATGTGACTGGTAGTGTAGGCTACCTAAAACTTTGGGGGGGCGGGGGGGGGAGATTACATGATAGTCGCCGAATAGATGCTCGTATAGGACATAAACCTAAATTCCTTTAGAAAGTCAACCTCCGTCTGAAAGTCATTGAATTATTCGCACTCTGGGAAAACTGCACATCTGCAGGGTCGATTCTCCTTTAACTCCTCCCAGTTAGATGCTGTGTAGCGCAGGCAGACGTAAGAAACAACCACGTCTCCAATCCGACCCTGAAGCCGCCTGAGGAGAGAGAGAGAGACCAGCGGAGGACAAAAGAAAACGCAAGATGAGAATATAGCGCAAACCTAAGATACATATATTTAACATCTGAAGATAGTTTTCTCTTTTTGGGGTCAAGTTTTACTTTTGGAAAACTTTTCATTAATAATGATTATACATACTTAGTAGGTTAGGCATAAGTCAGTTTTTATTCTTTTTGTACTTTGCTAACGGTCAGAGTTTTAAGGAATTTTTTCACTATTGGAATGGTCTGATTCAGGACAATCTGCTAGGAAAAACTTAGACAAGAAAACGGTAAGAACGGAGCTTAGAGCATTTTAGTGTCCCGAGTTCAGTACTCTCGCGCATTGAGGAATGTTACCGAAACTCCAGTCGTTACCGCGGCTGCTGCCGCTCGCCCTCGCCAGCGTATTTCTGGTGCAAAGCGGGACCAGTGACAAAGAAGTCAGACCAGAGGTAACACAGCATCCACTGTTCTTATAGTATTTTGTGTGTGTGTGTGTGTGTGTGTGTGTGTGTGACTCTTTTCACTGTGTCTGTCTGTCAAGCCTGCATTGTTGGACACAGATGCACTCAGATGTTTCCGCATGTCAGGATTTCCTTCATGAAGTGTATTCATGTACCTCATAATTCACTGTTAAATACAGATGAGAAGCGGTGAAGAGCTGTGTCTTTTCAGACCCCTAAATATCATTCAGGTTAAAACAAAACAGGAGTGAGTCAGAGGCTCCAGGACTCCTATTTAGCTAGAGAGGGTTAGTTATTAAAGTGGTGCAAGTCTAGTTTTGTGGTGTCTGTCCTGCATCTTTAGATTCATGTTTCTCTTTTGTATTTGCTGTTACTGAAAGATGGGACTAATAGGTAGATATATTAGTAGTTATATCAGTTTGTTTATACACCCAGAGGCATCCTAATGTCTTCTTCAGAAATAGGCCTACATGTCTGGTAGACACATAACTGTGAGTGGGAGAGAACGATTGAATGTTTTTCAGGACGGTTTGGCGTCTCTGTCACAGATGCAAGCCAGGAAACCTTAATGGCCTAAAATAAAGAAAACAAGATCAGAGCGAGGATTTAAGACATTTTTAAAAGTGTCTCTAGTTGTATCCCTTCATTCCTTACTCTCACACTCCTTCACATTTCTGAGATGGTTGAGAGATGTACCCAAGGATAGTGTGGAAAAAATTCAGCTCTGCAGATTCCACCAAAGTTTTTAAAGATGATAACAGTCTCCTCATGTGAGAGTTGCGTGATCAAAGACAAAGGTCACACAAAAGGTTAAATCACAGATGCCAAGTCCATGTGAAACTGCTGTTACTCTTCAGACTTTTGGTTTACTTTTATTACCATATTTATTAATATGCTTTAACCACATACAGAAGTTTTTTGTTTGTTTGTTTGTTTTAAGTTGTACAAACATTTTTTTCCCAATCATTTTTCCAGGAATTCTGAACTAATAAACTAAATGCATTACATTAAGTTTATTATGCCTTTTTCAGGATTTACCAGGGTTTAACAATTCCTCAGACAACAGCCCTGCACTTTTGCTGTTGTTACAGGTGCAGTTGTTTGAATACTGTACTAAAAAAAGAAAGAAAGAGAGAAATTCGGGTATATTCCTTATGGAAAACATCTGGGTTTTGCCCCCCTCTCCAACCATAGACGAGAGATGATGTATTTGTTTAAGTAGTATTACAGATGCAAAGCATCTGCTGAAACTCTGCTGAATCTTTCAGACATTCATCGGTTGAAGCTTAAATATAGATGAAATGTTTCATGTTATATGCAGTTTAGATACTGTAAGTTCAAACACACACAAAAAAAAGCTCAAACACCAAAATCTCTCTTTTTAATGTTTTATTTCCATGGAAAAATTGTGGTTCTGCAGTATATAAATGAGAATGTGAATTAAATATGGATGATAATGTCATGCATCTGTAAGTGCTGGAATTAACTTCTGCAGTTTAATAGCAATTGAGAGTCATGAGAGGTCAGAAATATTATCCTGTATTAATATTAGTTCATTTGCTCAGTTAAATGGGTCAGTGATTCTCCACGTGAAGATGCAGAGTGAGACGCGGGAACTAATGCCTAAAAAGTTTTTTCCATTGGCACAGACAAGGAGGAACGACTGACTCAGTCCTTCTGTCGTGCATTCAGACTCACCTCTGCCCTCCTTTTTTTCTTCTTCTTCCTTTTCTTCTACCCTTTGATTTTAGATTCCTAACTTTCTTATAGGTTTTGTTTTTTTTCCCTTCAACTTCTTTTTCTCTCTTTAGTTATAGTTTGCTCTTTTCTTTCCCTCTCTAATACCTTTGGAGCAGCTGATCAGCTGTTAAAATCATAAACGCAGCTTTTCCCCCTAAGCGGAAAGTTTGACATCAATATTTTCTGCAGAGAAACTATACGAATCAGAGATCAGGATAGTTGTGTGCTGTGCACAGTTGTTGTTTTTTTTGTGTAGTGTTAAAACTGCACACAGCCTACCAGCAAAACATGTTCCTCTTCCCAACATGGAATGTGTTTTCCATGTTGCGAGACCATAAAATGCTGAAATTGTTTTTCACAAACAGCCATCTCAGCAAGCACCTAATCATACTGACTCCATTAGTTTTAAAGGAGAGCTGATTTATATGTTTCATGTAGCATGTGTTAGCCTTGCTGGCATGTGCGGTGGTGACGTCTTAGCGTGTGATTACACTTAACCTCACATCCTTCTGAACCTGCCAGTCACTATCATGTGTGAGTTAATGATTACTGGTGAAATCTGTTCCCAGACCTGTATATGATGGCAGTGTCTGGCTTGATTATTACATAAAGCTTTCCCAAACTGCCCGAGACTCTGTAAACTCAATAAAGGCTACCTGTCTGCATGGTAATAGCTGACGCATGGCCACACAGTGACTCGCTCTTCCTCAGTCAGGGGAACGGCGGAGGGGTTCTAAATAGAACCTTTGATGCCCACCGCTGGGAGTTCCAGGCCAGGCCAGCGGAGCATGCTGGGATTGCTGGCAGAATTAAGAGGAGACCTGAGGCTTTTCGGGAGGGAGAAGAGTGGCCTTCAGAGGGAGTAAGAGAGAAAGAGGGAAACGTTTTCATCCTCATGAGTTAGAATGTTTTTACTGAAATGGGGTGCGTCACACAGAAAGCACTTAGAAAAGAGGAATTAAGTGACGGACGGGGAGAAAGAAAAATGGAGCAAAGGGTGACCAGGTTAACACTACACTATAGTGTTATCCAGATCTTTACTTCCTCGACCGATATGGCCTGTGTTGACAAGTCCCATTGGAAAATCTACAACATGAATGAACCAGTGTGAAAGCACTCACTGATTTAGTTGCTCTCTGAATATGTGTCTTAATCACTGTAGTACTTGTATGTTGACATACAGGTTTGTTGTAGTGTTTTGCCCATTTTGAAGATGTGTAGATTATAGGAGAAACTAGCATATAATTGAGCCTTGTACACTGTAAAAAGGAATTGTTGAGAAAGCTTGAACCTTAACCTGACGCATTCAGTTTTAAAGGTTCTCTCAACTACTGTCTTAAAAATTGTTCTAAGTAACACTACATTGTTTTGTCAGTTTGAATATGTTTGTTCGCTAAAATGTCTCATTCAGCCAATAAATTTATTAAGGCAACTACAGATTTATTGTTCAGCAAATATTCAGTTAGTAACACAATAAATGTATCTATCATTTTGGTAGTCATATATTCACACAGTTTTATAGTACATTTAATATGTGAAGTGAAATATGCTGTCTTTGTTTCTGAAGGTGGAATCACCTTACAAAGCAAAGATATCCAGAATATAGTTTTAGAAGGTGGTAAATAGACCTCAGCACGTAACAGCTGACAACATTTCAGGGAATTCTGTTGGTTTAACATTTTTTATGTAGTTTCAAGTGATTCACATTTCTCAGTATTTGTGACTCAAAGGTCTCATAAACTTGAGTTGCTTTTAGTTCAGTTTTCAGTGTAGCTTTAGGAACATAATCATGCCTTATTTATGACCATTGTAAATCTGGACTTATTCTTTGCCATCATGCTCTTCCTTCTTTTTCTCATTTCTCTCTGTAGCTGATTCAGACACTGCCTGTTCAGAAGAAAGAAAGAAAGAACAAAGGGAGGCAGTCTGAGGTCACAAGGATTACTGAAAAACTGCTTGTAATTTTTGCTGACACTCTTTGTGGTTGTAATGGAGACACTGGCTGTCTGATCCTTAAAATGAGACATTTACCGCTTAGTCTAACAGACAGTCACTACTTGTGGAGGAAATTTTATTTCTATCTGAAATATTAATATTTATTAGTATTATTTGCTTCACTGTACTAAAGAGTGTTCTTTAGACTGTCTCTGAGTGCTTCAATTTGCACAATTTGAGTTTTCGATGAGCTGAGAAATAACAGGAAATCTATTTAATGTTTATGTGCAAGACAAGTGTGAGACGTCCTGGCCTCTTTGCAACACATCTGGAGGACATAGTTGGACACCTTAAATGGACATATATATTGAATATGCATCAAATGCTTTGATGAGATCAAAGCATCGGCATTTGATGAAGGTATAAATGTTGAGTTTGGGTGTTTCTTCTTTGTCGCACTCTGCAGTCAACTTGGATGACTGTATGACTGTTGAACTTTTTTGCAAGAAAATACATATTCAAAGGACTTTTGTCTCATACCTTTAATTGAAATTGAAAATTGCCACGACACTACTAAACATGTAACCTTTGTGTTAACAGCCCAAATAAACCCATTAGGTTCCAACTATCTATACAGTTATAATCAGGGCCATAACCACCATAGACGAGAGTGGGACATGTCTCTCCAGTATTCAGAATACTGGCTTGTGGGTTCTTAAAATAACTGATTTTAATTGTTTTTTTTTTAGATTTGATCAATTTGTTTCTTAACAATGAACATTCTACTGAAGAAAAACTACAAACAAATACAAATATGTTTCTTTGAGTTCAAGTTTAAAAGCAGAGCTTAGAAAAAAACAGCACATGAAACACTTGAAGATGAAGTTCTTTGAAGCTACATAATTACATTACCATTGACATTTGTCTAGTTGTACATTATGAGATATATTTAGGTTTTATTTGTTTAATTCTTTGTTAGTGTTCCTATTTCTCTACTTTCATGTTCTCAGTTTTTTTTCCTGTAAGTCATAAAGAGTGAGAACAGAGGAACTGTTTCAATTGAAAGTCAGTCTGGTCTGTCTTTGCCCAAGTGTGGGTAGCCCTAATCCGGCCCTTAAAAAAACATTTAGCATTTTTTTTTCATAAAAAAGCATTCCTACACACATTTATGAATAATTAATTTAATTTAATGTTTATTAACTTAATGTTAGGTTTAGCTAGCTTCTGGAGACAATTTGGTCCCTATATAAATAGAAATGTAATATAATTTAATACAAATCATATACATATACAGATATATGTATTCTTTGAAATATATACATACAGTATATCAAAGATTATGCAGGTTTCAAACAGGACAGGCTTTGTCAGATTTAGTGAAACTCTGGTGAAATTTCTTAAGCAAATATACTACCAAAATTATAAATAGGTTGGAAACACACACACACACACAAACACACATACATCCTTAAAGTTAAATTAGGGTCATAAAGTCGATGATGACAGACGGGGGATCCAGCAAATATATGGTAGTTTATTGCAATCGCATAAATGCATTTAGTTGCATTTATTTATTATTATGTTCATTTTACAAGCCAAGTTACAAGACAAGTCATTTAGGAAAATATGTGAAAGTGTATAAATTCATTCAAAAGGTTAGCTATCATAAAAATAATATATAAGATAAGAATAAAAGATAAAAATACAATTATAAAAATGACTACATATCATTAAGAAAGAAATTACAGATGCCAGAATGTTTCACATTCTATCTGAAGCATTTACAGTAAAGTTTAAATGAAGACATTCAAACAGTGATATTACAAATGCATAAAATAAATATAATAAAATATGTGTTGATATCTGTTTCTGTCTTTAAAGATCTTTCAGTAATAATTTTTTTGTGATTTTAGTTTTAGGTAACTCTAATAACCCTGATGCTTACCTGTGTGTTTTTCGACAGGTGCTGGCTCCAGTGAGGTGCCCCAACCCCCAGCACCCCGGCCCCCCACTCGCAGGCCAGACCGGCCTTCCTTTGGCCCTGACATATGTGAGGGACACTTCGACACCATCGCTTTCCTCAGGGGAGAGATGTTCGTCTTCAAGGTAGGTACAACTGAATGCAAATCAATTGTGTGTGCATGCTGTATATTTTGTGTGATTTTAATATTTAAACCCTCTCTACTCCACAGGAAAAGTGGTTCTGGAGAATGCGTGATGGTAAACCTCAGCAGGGCTATCCCATGCCCATTGGACACTTCTGGAAGGGACTGCCTCCCTCTATCAACGCAGCCTACGAACACTCTGATGGAAAGTTTGTTTTCTTCAAAGGTGTGTCCATCTTCTATATTTTTAGGCCTCGCATTGCATCTCTGGTTTTAATAGGTAAATTGTGTAATAATGCTTGTTTGTCTGTCCTCTCTCTAGGGGACAAGTATTGGGTTTTCAATGAGGCCAAAATGGAAGAAGGTTATCCAAAAACTTTCAAGGAGCTTGGCACAGGCCTACCAAGAGACAAGCTGGACGCCGCTGTTTTCTACACACCCACCGGCAACACCTACTTCTTCAGAGGAACCAAGTATGTTTCCAGTGTTACTCACCATGTCTTATTTAGTGTCTGGTTATTAAGCCAATGGTTTTGTGTCATATGGGGAAAATGCTTCCTCTTCTTTTTTTTGTGAACTCCTCCCTTTCGTTTATTGTCATCATTTGTCATTCGTGGCTTTTCTGTTTTCTTAGGTATTACCGGTTCAATGAGAAAAGCAGATCTGTGGATCCAGATTACCCCAAACCCATCAGTGTATGGCAAGGAGTACCAGATAATATCAAAGGGGCCTTCATGAGCGAAGATGGAGGTACAGGAGCATTTGTTCTTGTGTTTTTTCCTTTGGGTTCACTGTTCTGTTTAACACACACACAAAAAAAAAACACTGATCAATACGAATTTTTAATGCTGAAACTCTAGTTACTCCAGTCTTCAATGTCACAAATTTTGATTGATTGATTGACATGATTCCTCAGAAATCATTCTAATATGTTGATTTGGTACTCAGGAAACATTTCTTATTATTATCAATGTTGAAAACAGTTGTGCTGCTTAATATTTTTGCGGAAACCATGACACATTTTTTCTGAATTCTTAGATGAATAGAAAGTTGACAAGAACAGCATTAATTTGACATATAAATCTTTTGTAACATTATAAATATCTTTACTCTCACGTTTGATCAGTTTAAATGCATCCTTGCTAAATTCTTTCAAAAAAAAAAAGAAAAAGAAAAAGTCAGAACCCAAACTATCTGTTTATGAAGAACTTTTAAACCATTTTAGAGATTTAGAAATGTAGAAACACTTTTACTGAATCAACATTTTCCACACTTTTTTCAGCCCACACTTACTTCTACAAAGCCAATAAGTACTGGAAGTTTAACAATCAGCAGCTGAAGGTGGAGCCAGGCTACCCCAAATCGGTCCTGACTGACTGGATGGGCTGTGAAGGAGAGGAGCCCAAGAGGAGGATTGGCACAGATGAGGAAGTGCTCATCATTGAGATGGACGAGTCAGAGGGCGGAGTCATGGGAGGAGCCGCAACCATTGTCATCCCTCTCTTTCTTTTGGCCTGTGTGCTTGTCACTTTGGGGGCTCTGCTGTTCTTCCGGCGCTACGGCACTCCTCGACGCCTCCTCTACTGTCACCGCTCTCTGCTTGATAAGGTTTAGAGATGAACACGAACGACACGGGAAGAGACAAGAAAGAGGTATACAAGTAGATGGCATTTGGAATGGATGGAGTGAATATGAATGTCAGACAGTAAAGATTGGTTTACAGGTCTGCAAGCAGTGAGAGATGAAAAAGTGAAGGATGTGTATTGTATGTTTTTTTTCTATTTACATGTACTTCTCTGCCATTAATAAAAAATCCAAAATGGAGTGGGAGATAAGAGAGACAGACACAAGTCCCCCTCCATCTCTTAAATGGTTACGGTTTATCAGTGAAATGCACTTTTGTTCCTTCAGTCTTCTTTTCAGTATATAATCCCTCCTTTATCCTCTCTGAAAATCTCCCTCCCCAGAACTGAACTTGACTCCAGCCGGGCGGCTGTTTGATTGACATGTTCTATATTCTAATTGATCTCACTTTGACGTATTTCATTAATTCAGATTTTGCTTTTTACATTGCTGATCCAATGAAAACCTCCTGCACCCCATTACATGCCTTTGCCATTGAATTAATAGTATGGAAGGACTAACATAATTGACCTTCCTTGCACCTTTTATTCACCAAAGATATTTGCACAAAGTATGGCTCGACTATAGAGACTGCTGTACGTGAAAGGTCAAAGGTTACAGGTCAAAGTTCAGGGAGAGAGAAGCCGAGCAGTTTCTGGAGTAGGCCAGTTTTAAATGCACCTATAGAGCAGAGCTGTCCATCTGTTTCAACTCAAAATACTATTGTTATTGTAATGTGTTTGGTACATTTTACTATGATTAATTATGTCATTAATGATTGGCATTGTTATTATAACTATGGTTATTGTTATTATTGTTCTCCATGTCTAGTCTTGCCTATTTTAAATTGTCATTTCAAGTCCTGCTGGACACAGGCAGAATGTGACTTATTTCAAATTGGCTTCCGATCTTTTAATGTCAGGTTTAAGGGCGGAAAAATCAGGTTTCTATGCAGAAACAAATACAGAATTATTTATGAACAGTAATGGTGCTATGGGTTTTCTTACTACATACATCAGTATTAGACATTTCTGAAGTAGTTTTAACAATGATAATGGTAATGAGGTTTATAATGATAATGATATAGTGTAAATGTAAAGGAATGACATTTTTGCCTGTTTCATACTTTTTGTACTTGGAAATGAAAATGAAATAAAGTTCCTTTTTTTAACTTTATTCTCTCTTTCCTGGACCTTAAAAAATTAATTTCTCACATGAGTACCAAATGTACTCACATACACTTTTTCTTTTGTCTTTTACTGCTTTACTGCTAAACTTTCTGCATCTAAGCTGTTTTGAGAAAGTTCAGTTTTTATTTATTTAGTGATAAAGTTTGAATTTATATATTATTAACATCATAATAATAATCAACATTCAAGATAAAGATATTGCTTATTTACCACAGTTCAATGGACAAATATGTAAATAAGAAAAAAATAGGCAGTGTCCCAAAGAACATATTTCTGTGAAACTATTTTCTTAAACTTTCTTACACCATGGATCTGCCATTGCTAGTTCAAGTAGTGATGAACTTTTTAAATCAACTTTTTGAATCAACTTTTTAAAATGAATCAGTTCATTAAATGATTCAATGACTAACTCATAAAGCCACTTCTCTATTGTCTTAATGCTTTGATAGAAATGTAAAAAGTCCTATGCTGTTGGACTGTTTCTGTATATCAGATTTGAGGACCGAAACTAACAGTTTATGTATGTAATTATATTAATATAATAATTAATATACGTGACCGACAACAAAATAAGTCATAAGGGTTTTACAGATTTACTCATCAGCTTCCCATTGATGTATGGTTTGTTAGGATAGGACAATATTTGCCCGAGATACAACTATTTGAAAATCTGGAATCTCAGGGTGTAAAAAAATCTAAATATTGAGAAAATCTCCTTTAAAGTTGTCCAAATTTAGTTCTTAGCAATGCATATTACTAATCAAAAATGAAGTTTTGATATATTTACCGTAGGAAATTTACAAAATATCTTTATGGAACATGATCTTTACTTAATATCCTAATGATTTTTGGCATAAAAGAAAAATCGATCATTTTGACCCATACAATGTATTTTTGGCTATTGCTACAAATATACCCCAGCGACTTAAGACTGGTTTTGTGGTCCAGGGTCACATATATTAATATATTTGTATATTTATAATAATATACACTACCGGTCAAAAGTTTGGGATCAGTAAGACTTGTAATGTTTTTTATAGAAGTCTCTTCTGCTCATCAAGGCTGCATTTATTTGATCAAAAATACAGAAAAAAAAGTAATCTTGCAAAATGTTATTACAATATAAAATAATGATTTCTATTTTAATATCCTTTAAAATATAATTTATTTCTGTGATGCAAAGCTGAATTTCCATCAGCCATTACTCCAGTATAAAGTGTCACATGATCCTTAAGAAATCATTCTATTATGCTGATTTATTAATAGAATTATCAATGTTGGCAACAGTTGTGTTGCCAAATATTTTTTTGGAAACATGCGATACTTTTTTCAGGATTCTTTTATGAATAAAAAGTTCAAAAGAACAGCATTTATTCAAAATATAAATCTGTTCTAACAATATAAATCTTTGCTATCACTTCTTAACAATTTAACACATCCTTGCTGAACAAAAGTTTTAATTTCTTTAAAAAAAAAAAAAAGAAAGAATACAAATTTCTGACCCCAAACTTTTGAACGGTAGTGTATATTGTTAGTAAAGATTTCTATTTTAAACAAATGCTCTTCTTTTTTAACTTTTTATTCATCAAAGAATCCTGAAAAAAGTATCACAGGTTCCCAAAAAATATGAAGCAACACAACAGTTTCCAGCACTGATAATAAATCAGCTTATTAGAATGATTTCTGAAGGATCATGTGACACTGAGAGCTGCATCACAGGAATAAATTAGATTTTAATGTATATTAAAATAGAAAAACATTATTTTACATCATAATAATATTTCACAATATTACATTTTTCCTGTATTTTTGATCAAATAAATGCAGCCTTGATGAGCATAAGAAACTCCTGTAAAAAACATTAAAAGTCTTTCTGATCCCAAACTTTTGACCGGTAGTGTATATGTAAATGTATAATTAATATATATGTATAATGTATAATATATGTATAGTTAATATATATGTGTATGAATAAATTGTAGCTTATTTGTTGCAGAAAACTGATGTGTGTCTGTACATGTTCTCATATCTGAGAGAGCAAGGGACCAGAGACATTTGACTGTGCTTTGTAGTGAAGGAGGAGCGTTCGCCTCTCTGCAAAGTGTCTTAAAACTGTTCCAGCTGACAGAGTCAGGAAAAAACAGAGCTCTGCCATTATCGCTTCCCTCCCATCCTTCCCCCCTCCTCATTTCTCCACACAGCAAAATTGTTCTCTTTTATGAGGCTTTTAAATGAACAGCCCACCACAAACATCTCTGAGCCGTTTTTCCTGTCCCCTCTCTTTCCAATCTCTTTTTCTTTCTCCCCCATCTTTGAATCCCCGTTCACTTCTGTGTTGCTCTTTGCATGATTTTTTAATAGGTACAGTGGCGAGCATGTATTAGAGGAAAAAATGATGACATGAAGGGACTTGTCAAATTACTGATGATTACTCTTGAATTTCTTTCTTTCTTTCTGTTTCCACTTGACAAAATGCCTGCAATTTCTCTGCCTGCAAAAAACAGGCAGGTTTGATTCTCTGGAAATTGTGGCCGCCCTTACTAACTTATTCAGTGAATAAAAAAACATATTTCTACATATCACATGTCTAATGTTTTTTTACTGAAACTGTGTCATCTGAGAAATTCATCTGTTTATGAGATGGACAGATGAGCTAAGGACAGGACAGGAAGTCTGGCTCTGGTCATGGTGGTGTGAGAGACATATTAGGCCGAGCGTGTGTAAGGCTTAGCCTTCCCCTGGCCATGGGGACTTGGGGCAAAAATGCCACTAAATTGGACAAAAATCCCCCTGCACAAACAAATTCAATCTATTATTCGCTGTTTTATTCGCTGCTCATGTTGCACCGTATTTCATTTTAGGCGTTTTTACAGTGTTGCGCATTTTAACCAATCACACACAATTCTGTTGAGCTTAGGAATGCAATGGCCAATCAGAGGCGTTCAGATGAGTCATCGTTGAAACCGATCAGTTTTGTTGAGTGCGCGCGCGTTCGCTGACTGAATTCCGGACTCTTGCGAATTCTCTCATCATAAACAACAAAGCGCAGATGTACGTACAATGTAAGTAAGAGATTCATTTCACAGTGTATGCAGCTTCAGTGATTATAACGATAGTTTTGTTTTTTTGAGAGTGCTTAAACTCGCGATAGATCAATGTTAGTGATAATGTCACTTTCTATATATAATTTATTCGCTGTATGAATAACTGTGGAAACGGAAACGTTATATAATTATGAATTTCTAACGTTTTTAATAAATTGTAATCACGTTAAATACAAATTCAGTCCCATTAAACATTTTTTAGCCTACATGGCACCCATGTCTGGTTCTGGTCGCTGTGATTTTGCCAAGTAAGACATGTTCCTGGATCAACATCTTTTGTTGATCCTGGATCAACATTACTGTCCAAAAATATAGACTAAACCCAATCCCTACCCCTAAACCTAACCCTACCCATAATTTATCAGTGTGAAAATGATAGCTGATTAACAAGGGTGTAGAAGCACCTAACCCTGATCGTAAGCCTAAAACAGATATTGCCTGAAAAGTTATCCCTCAATTCTGATTGGTTAATTGGAATGCTGTTCCAGGATCAACAAGGATATTGATCCAGGAACATGTTGTACTTGGTCAAATCACGGTCACCGTCTGGTTCTTGCCTAAAAAGACGGGTTTAAATGTTTAATACATTTGGCTGCTTTTAGCTTTACCCTGGAGTTGGTTCACCCTCCGCCTATGGTGAGAGAGCTCTGGCAGTCATGTTTGGTGAGCTTGGTTCTTGTCTTGTGGGGTGGCCAGGGAAAAAGTACACAAAAGCCCACATACATGCTGAGCTGGCGAACAGGACGTGGCCTGGACAGTTGCTTGCAATTTAGAGCGTGTATATGTGTTTTGTGTAACCTACATTACTATACTTTTTACCACACACTGCTGACAGAGAGGTGAACAGAAGTCAAGAGAGGAGCAGAGGAGAGCAAAGAGGAAAGCAGATGGCTTACAGAAGCCCATTGCAAGTTCGAAGTTGTGTATACTGGAAAAGCAACAAACCAGCAACAGAATTACTCAATAAAAAGTGATAACCTGCAATTGTTACCTTAAAGGTCTATTTCTACCTGATTCCATTTTTTGGTTTAATGTATTTGGGTTTCACTTAATTTAAACAATATATTTGATTTAAATTAAATTAGATTTAAGTTAATTTAGATTTACCATTTTTAGGTTACCATTTTTTCCTGTGTAGGCCTATATATATATAACACTATTAGATTAGTAGACCTAAATAAATAGGCCTGAATCAGCAGCCACAGAATTATGCTGAAAAAAAAAAAAGAATTATGCAGAAGGGTTTGGTACAAACTCCCACTCCTTGCATGTATGTTTATTAAATATTTTAGGTAATTTCATAATGATTCTTCTAATAAGAAGACATTCTTTGGCTCTGTTTCTTTAGCTCAATTTCTTTAGCTCTGAGCACTTTTGATTTTTATTAAAACTGAAAAACTTCCTTTTTTTGCCTTCCATTTGCCATCACATTAAAACTGTTTTAGAAAGTTTTTTTTAACATACTTTCATCATTTATTTGTGCTACTTTACAACTGCTTATTTTTCAGGTTCTTTACCATGCCTTTTATGTATACATTTGATTGTTTTACTCTTGTCCCAGACCCAGACTTTTGATTTTAAAGATTTGGAAAATCATTATGAAATTATTCATTTAATTTGTTTTCCAAAAATATGATGACAATTTCAATTTTTATTGTCTGAAAATAACTGAATAATTGATAGCTACTTTTCCTTTAAATTATCACTATTTTGCCTTAATAAGGATTTTTTTTAAAGAGTGTCGGGACATGAATGAGAAATCAATCAAGAAAATAAAGAGAAATCAATGTAAGTATCACTTGTGAGCAGAATATTTGTT